TTCCGGAGTTGATTGTCATATCTGTGGCGGCTAGATTTCAATCTATTAGGGACATGGGGGTTGGTCAGCAGTCTGGCCACTTCGGAGTTTGAGTGATCCACAAGTGAATTAGCGAGACGGCCGCTAGCCTTCTCGTAAACCTCCTCGACAGTTTTGATATTGTATACACTTCTGATATTGTCGTTTCTTGTATATATTGTGGCCCTAACTGCCCTCCTCACTAGTTTGTTTTGGAGTGTTTGTATCTTTTTCACTAATGAGTCAGAAGCCAGGGCACCCCAGACTGGAAAAGCATAAAACCAAATTGGCATGATTAATTGTTTTAGGATCGTCACTTTGCATTCTTTGGCAAGCCGGCTTTTGCAGCCAATAATCCAATCAAGTTTAATTGACGCAGTTCTTGTCTTATTTATAATGGCTTTGACATGGTGGTTAAGGCTAAGTTTCCTATCGAGCGTAACCCCAAGATACATTTGTTTGAATTTGTTAGGAATTCTTTGTCCATTTAATTTAGGCGTACTTTCTTGCTGTGTTTTGCTAAGTTTATTCAGTGTGAAAAATACGTGGGCTGTTTTCTTTTCGTTAATGCCCATTTCCCATTTTTTAGCCCAAACACTGAACTTATTTAAATATTGTTCGTTCATTTTTGCCGCTGTCAAGGGGAAGTCCGCTCTGCTCATGATAATTGTGTCATCTGCATACGTAGCTAACATTCTGTTTTTTTCCCTTAGTACCGGTATCGAAGTGGGGTGATATCCATTCAAGCAGTTTGGTAGCGGAACGTCAGATGAGTAAATGCTGTATAGAAGTGGACCTAAATTGCTGCCCTGAGGAACCCCGGCTTTTATTTTTCCAATTCTCGATGTAATACCATTGTTGGTAATTACTTCGAAGGTCCTTTCATTTAGGTAGCTTTCTAGTAGCTTGAAGGCCTGAAGAGACACCAGTTTTGATAGCTTATATAGCAAACCGGTGTGCCATACTCTATCAAACGCTTCAGATATATCTATAAAAACAGCTGAGCAGTATTGTTTTTCTTCGAAGGCCCCCATAATGAATTGCGTTACTCTTGCTAGCTGTTGTTCAGTGGCATGTTCTTTTCGAAACCCAAATTGATGTGTGGGAAGGGCTCTAGAGAAATCCTCAAAGTCAAATAATCGTTTAATAAAAAGTTTTTCAAAGGTTTTAGCTAATCCAGAAAGGAGACTGATTGGGCGATAGGATGTTACCGACTGAGCAGGCTTATTTGGCTTAAGAAGTAATGTGATTGTGGCGTGTTTCCAAGCTTGCGGGAAGTGACCCAATCTCAGCATTGAGTTGAAGATCAGGAGAATATATAGTAGGGCTTTCTTTGGGAGAGCCTTGATTAACACATTGTCTATTCTGTCTTTACCTGGGGATTTATTCAAGATCAAGTTTTTAATTTCGGTTGTCAGTTCTGGGAGTGTAAATGGTCTGAGAGGACGTGTTTGTGTCTTTGTTGCTGCATCCGTCAGCTTCTGTTTCTCAATGTCTAGGTCTTTTTGTGTCGTCTCGCGTTCCTTTTCTGAGCTTGTATGTCTGGGCTTAAATCGTTGTTCAAAGTGAGAGACAAATACTTCGGCTTTCTCTTCGTTACTCTTGGTCCATACGGGTCGTTGGTTAGAGTTCCCCGTCTGCGTGCAAATGGGCCAGTTTGGTTGTGGCTGTCTCTTGATTGTATTTGTTACTTTCCAGAGCTTTGCCATTTTGTATCTGTCTTGCGTGTTTATACCTTCAAATTGCTGATTAATGTTGTTTGTTTTTAATTTTTGTAATTTTTTCCTGAGGGTGTTCTGGGCGGCCTTGTACAGTGTTTTAGCCTCTTCTGTGTGGAATATTTTAAATCTGAGGTTCAGTTCGTTTTTTATTTGCAGAAGCGCTTTAGTTTCATCGTCTAGTTTATAGCGTGCTTTGTCCATCCTTCGTTGGCTGTTTGAATTCCCAGATCTTAATCTTTGATTGGAGTTTACATTTTTAGTGGCTAGTTTTATCGCGTCATGTATGTTTGTAGTTAGTATTTTTACTGCGTCGTCAATATCCAGTCCCGAGTGAATTTCCGTGTTTAAGTTTATGGTCTGTTCCAAGTGCTCTTTTACTCTGTTAATATTTGTTTTCTTTGTAATTAGTCGTCTGCCTATAGAACTTTGGGTGAATGTGTCGGCCCCATTTGTACACATTTCGATGGTTATTGGCAGGTGATCGGAGTCCAGACTGCTACATGAATGGATTTTCATCCTATTTACTGTAATACCCCCACAAACTGCAAAGTCGATGGCTGAGGGTCTTTTTCTGCTGTCGTATGGATAGTGGGTGGCACCTCCTGTGGCCAGGATGTTGTATCTGGCTCCAGAGCTCACAGCTTGCATCAGGGCACGTCCTCTCCTACAGGATCTGGGGTTCCCCCACCATGGATGCTTAGCATTCCAATCTCCGCAGCAAATGAACCCGGAGGTACCCCCCAATATGTTGTCAAAATGCAGGAGTAGTGATCTGAAATGATTCTCAGTCCAATTGAAGTTAGGTGGGCAGTACGTCGGTGCAACCACGATCATGTTTCTCCTCTTGTTGTTTATTGGGATTATTACAATTGGGGTACATTGAAGGAAATCGGTGCTAATGGGTTCCAGTGCAGCATGTCTAACATTTTCTTTCACATATACCACGACCCCCCCTTTTTTGTGGTTTATAGGATTGGCAGTGTGGTATGAGATGTAGTTTGGTATTTTCAGTAGGTCAGCGCTCTGTTTAGTTCTAGTTTCAATAACCATCATAATTTGTATGTCCCCATTTGTCATGAATGTTTCAAGTTCAGCCATTTATTTTTGATCCCACAGGCGTTCCAGAAAGCTATTTTAAGCCTGTTGGAGTTGGGCAGGTTTGCCCCGGTCGTGTCAAGAGTTTGTGGCGGAAAGTGATTGGAATGTGGGAAATGGTTTGCGTTATTATTGTTTGTGTTCATGTCTGTAATTATTGGCTAGTTTAGTTAGATATAATGTATAGCAATGAGTTGTTTTATTGTTTGTTTTCTATTTGATTGAGGATATTTGTTGTTTTGTGATGTTCAGAATTGTTTGTAGTGTTATTTATATTGTCAGTATTTTTGGGGGGAGGGTTTTGCAGTAGTGTGTGAATTTGGCTAATTGACGCCATGATGTCCTTAATACTGAGCTCAATTACATTGAGCCTGTCTTCAAACCGCTTGTTCTCCTGTTCAGCGGGGCCCTCTGTCATTACTTTTGCAGACTGCGAGAGCGCCATCTGCTCCTCCCTCAGTCTACTCTGGAATTTCTCTAGGTGGCTGGCGGCTGGGTTGACATTCGTGTCACCGGTTTTTGGAGCCCGTCCCTTCCCTATTCTGTCCTTCTTATGGCTGGATGTTTGCTTGCTCCTTTCTCGGTTTCTCATCTTAGAAAGCCTTTTTTTTATTTCAGTGCTGTGGAGGCTCGGCTTGGGTTGGACTGTTCTGCCTGAGAAAGGGTTAGTGAAACCCCTCCCTGGGATTTTCCGCCCTTCGACATAGTCGCCCTCATCCTTTCGATGGTCACCTGCAGTAGTGGGGCCCCCTCTGTTTGGTTGGGGGGTGCCTGGAGATCTCCTCCCATACACTCGGCCTCCCTAGTGCCTTCCCTATGCTCCTGTCCATATTGACAATTTTGTCGATTTTGAGCTTGCTTCTGGCAGCTTTGAAGGCCGGGCAACCCTTAAAACAACTGACATGCTCTCCGCCGCAGTTAACACATTTAGCAGGAGTGTATCTGGGTTTGGTGCATGTAGTTGAGAGATGGTCACTGGCGCACTTCATGCACTTGGGTGCGTTTTCTACAGTAGTTCCTAGTGTGTCCGTAGGCCTTTTGATGTTCAAACTTGCTCAGGGCACTTAGTGTGACCTGACGCAATCTTATTAGTGTTCTTATTACTTATTAGCAACATTTAACATTATTTATGGAAACTTACAATTTTTTTAACATTTAGGTATTTTTTTTTAACATTACGGTAACATTGATAAAATATACAGAAAAAATATACAGATAAATACTATACAGTTATCCGATGTAAACAAGTTAAGATTGGCTTGTGTTTTCTTTTCTTTTTTTTTTGACTTAGGCATAAAAAACCCTGCAACGCCGCTCCTGGACCCCTCATCCGGTGCGAAACGGAGGCATGGACGACAGGGAGACCTCCAAAGCATCGGCAACGCAAGCGCGGCATCGCCTCGTCCCTCCTTTCCTGGCCGAATCCAGTCGATGCAACTCCAGGGAGAACGGCGACGCATATGCCTCTTTCTGTGGATGAATATGAAACTCCTGGCCGATTTTAATATTATTTTATTTTCAGGTTTATGTTTTGTTTGTATTTTATTTGCAGGTTATTGATTGGTTTGTTTGGAAGCTATCGTAGTAAGTGAATTAATTTGTGTTTTGGCTGATTATTAAATGTATTCTATTTGCAGGTTCATTTGGTTTATTTGGAGTTTTGGCGTTGTATTTGGTAAGCGAGTCTATTTCTGTTTTGGCTGATTTTGATTGTATTTTATTGCAGGTTTTGATTGGTTTGTTTTGATGGCTATCGTAGTAAGTGAATTGATTTGTGTTTTGACTGATTATTAAATGTATTCTAATTTGCAGGTTCAATTGATTTATTTGGAGGTTTGCGTTGTATTTGGTGAGGCGAGTCTATTTATGTTTTGGCTGATTTTGATTGTATTTTATTTGCAGATATTGATTGGTTCGTTTGGAAGCTAGCGTGGTAAGTAAATTAATTTGTGTTTTGACTGATTTTAATTGTATTTTATTTGCAGGTTCAATTGGTTTGTTTTGGAGGTGTGCGTTGAATTTGGTAAGCGAGTTTATTTCTGTTTTGGGCTGATTTTAATTGTATTTTATTTGCAGATTGTGATTGGTTTGTTTGGAAGCTAGCGTGGTAAGTATATTAATTTGTGTTTTTGACTGATTTTAATTGTATTTTATTTGCAGGTTCAATTGGTTTATTTGGAGGTGTGCGTTGAATTTGGTAAGCGAGTTTATTTCTGTTTTGGCTGATTTTGATTGTATTTTATTTGCAGGTTTTGATTGGTTTGCTTGGAGGTGATTTGGTAGAGTGGTTTAAGTTATGTTTTGGCTGCTTTTAATTAGTTTTATTTGTAGGTTTATACTTTCTGGATTTTGCTGTACCATTGGATCAAGTCTTAACCATTCGGCTGGAGGACGCCTTCCTCTACATCCCCTCTGTGGTCTGGCACTATAATTCTTTGTATACCCAATGGTTGGCCCTGATTCTTTCAAGTATTGTTTCCCTAGTAAATTTCCCTTGAGCATACATTTTTCTGTAC